TTCCTATACAGTTATTAATATGTACAGCTTCTACTGCTTTTCCCAGTGGGATCTGGGTAAGTTCCCCATAGGAGGCAGGGGAAGAAGTCACCCCCATACTTTATCTGAGACCTCTGTATAACATCCATTACTGTTCCGGCATTTTGGTCTTAGTTTGTGAGGCTTGGTTTGGGGATTTTGGAGGGGAGTTTATTTGTTTTCTATTTCCTCTAGTGAAGTTTTTTATATTGAGAGCATTGAAAAAATCCCTTTATTAGAGGAAAGGCCACAACAGTGCAAACCTGTGTGTTCCCAAATGCATGCCTTTTCTTTCACGGTATTTCTAACTGGCGGTTTACCCCCCTTGATCATTTAGTCTTTAGCCTCCCTACTAAGATATCCAGGAGAGAAATTAATATTGTTTATAATAGCAGGTTTTGGACACGCATATCAGTCAAGTTGAGATACAAACCAGACTATGTATCTTACTTTAAACAAGCTTGATGTGATAAAACACTGATAATTCAATTACTGATGACAGGTTATAGATTTAAACGAGAAATCTGAAGGTGTAAGTCAGTAACTTGTACTGTTCCAATACATCTGCTACTCATTAGTTCAAGGACTTCATTAGTATGAAGTGTCCTGAATATAAGCACTACGCTACTGAGAAATCATGAAGCTTTTCACTGTATACAATAGTAGTATTCCATATCTTTTCCAGACCAGGTTAACCTTTATTGCTCCTTAGTCACTGAATGTTTGAATGCTTTGCAGTCCTTCAGAATTTTGGTGCTTTCTTTAAATCTCCTGCTCTCCAAAAAAGTTACAGCAAAATTATAGAATGCTTTAAATGACTACAATTTCTGTCTCTGACTCAGCTGCATAATTTCTCTGTGTCCCTGATTAGCAGACATGAAGCTGTGTTACTTCTGTCGCATCCTCTTCACTAAATTTTTGCCCTCCTTTCTTGTTCTGTATGCAGCCCCAGATGCTAGCTGCTGTTTTAACTTTATGCCTCATGGCATTACATTTTTGTCATGTGGGTATTATTAAAATGCTTTGTCTATACATTAAGGCACCTCTCCCCCCGTTTCTTTGCTTTTCCATTTATTTCAATGGTTGACACACTTGGAAATCATGAAATCATGAAATCGTTCACTTCTAAGTATCTTCCAGCAAATCTTGTAATCTGTCTCCTTTCACTGGGACAAACCAATTTCACCGATGTTTAAAGACCCTCAATTATTTGATATATTTGATTTTAAATATGTCTAGTGTGCTAAGATTCATAATTAGCATTGATTAATTTGTCATATCTTTTCAATTTTTATATGTGGGCATGATCTGGAGCTGGAATGCAGGATTGCTATTTGGCCCAAATAATTTGGTGACAATAATTTTGGTGAAAGGCATAACCAGAATTACTGTATCAGCCTTCACCTCACTGTCTCTTTTCCCATAACCATTTGCTGTTACTGGGAAGCCTGATGCTGGTGAGTGGTGTCTTGCACCTATGTGGGGTCCCAGGGAAATCGGCGTAGCTTTACATGGGAGCAGGCAGAAAAATTTTCATGATTACATCTCATTCATTTCATTATCTTGAATATGGTGCCTACTGCTCTGAATTGACTGTCTGTAGCCAATCCAAAAACGCTGATCACTCCTAAGTTTAAATATCATCACTTCCAAAAAATAGTGAAATTAGTTGTAACATACTAAGTCTAAGCAATCAGGTTTTGTGTGTTTCTGTTTCTTTAAGAAGATGACCATATATTTATATCTCAAATTTATTCCCATCATAGAGGATACATTTGGTGATCTATAATATTCTGGCATCACCCTCACTTTCTCCTTAATTCTATTTCATTGCATTTTTCCTTTATTAAATTGCTGCTTCCTTATGCCTGTCTCAACTTCACCAAAGCGATCAGCACTTGCTACTGGTTCTATAGTTTCTTCAGTCATCTACTATAGAAGTTATGGTCTAACTTCTCCAGCCCAGGAGGTTAATTTGACTTCAATAATTTCAGCTTGTAAGGGACTTGTTCTTCTGAGATTGCTAATGGCCTTCATTTTTTATTTGTACTTCCCAGAAACTTTGGCTCCAGAAATTTGCCTCTAGACTCCTCTATGAAAAGTAGAGAGAAGAACACATAATTATCCAGCTGATTATATGAAATCGTTTTCTGCAACATCCCCAAATATCCAGTGGTTTCCTTTGTCCATCTTTTCCTATTTATCTTCAAAGAGCTTTTTCAGTCATTTCTATTCAGATCTCCAGTGAGTCCTCTGTCCTCTTGTGGTTTCTGATGTTCTGACTCAGTATGACTGACTTTCTCAATATGCCTCTTTCTCATTGTTGTTCCCCCTCTACACATCCTCATGCACGAGCATTTAGAGTGATACATTGTCATCCGAGTTCAGGATGTGTTTTCTGTGAGACCTTTGTTCACCTTTTCAATACAGAGCCATACAAAAAGGGCTACATATTTTTAGTTTGAATTATTTTCATTTTAGATTAAAAGATAACAAATAGAGGAACAAAAGCAGTGTCACCATTAGAGAGTACACAGGGTGCGTTTAGTCTGTAACATGCTGTGCCTGCCCTGAAAGCGTATGAATAGAAAACAGAATAAAGAGAAAATTGACTGTAGCATAGTGGCATACCTTATGCACTATAAAAGTGCCATCAAATTAAGGTTAAGTTCCGAGTGGTACTAAAGTTCATCAAATTGAATCTGCACATTAGCTCCACAGAGACTGTAAGGAGATTTGTGCTTCCCCTAAACCCTGCACAGGGTAAAGGAGTTGGTTAGCCATTATAAACATTTACTTTTTTTTCATGTCTTTATTCTCCTGTCCCCAACCCTGAACTTGTTCCCCAGGGATACTATTTGTGAAAGGTTTGTTCAGGGGTGGGGGGGAGAAAAAAAAAAAAAGAAAAAAAAAAAAAAAAAAAGAATTTAGGTCTGTCTCTGGAAACGAAAAAGGAATCATGCTGATTTCATCGTGGCCAGTCATGAACCTGCTGGAGCAATGGGCTCAAATTCAGGTCAGCAGTGTGGCGTTCACACTGAACTACTTGCACACATCTAATTGCCAATGAATTATTTAGAACAGACAAGGCAAAATGCATAGGAAAGAAATTTAGAAAGTAGACTCTGCTGCTTTGCAGAAAAATTTCTTTGTCTAAAGGTAAAGGACTATGTTTCAGTCTTTGCTATTTTAAATGAGCTAACTGAGGTGCTGCTAGGAAAATGGCTACACCTGGAGCCCGGTTAGGGTGGCAAGACCCATCTGTGAAGCTGAATGGTTGTTCAAGTATTTGTCCCAAGCTGAGGTTTCTCGGGTGAATGTGACTGCAAGACAGACAATACCCTTCTTCACCAAGACAGCCAGCACATTACATTATATGTCCATACCATTTTAAGAAGATAAATGTACAGATGTAAACTGCTATACATCTTCACTGCATCTTACTCACTTCTAGAGCTCAGAGGTCATAAAAGTTTTTTAGGGCTTCTCCAAGCTATGAACCAGATGTCTGCCATAGAGCAGCTGTTACTGAATCCACCCCCAGCTAAGTTTTTCCCTCTACTGTGTAAAAATCTCTCCTTCATGTTCCCATCACTTTTCTTTTGTTGTTTTTAGAGGATTGAAATTGGTCTATAAGAAGAAGAATATTAAAATGTTAGAGGGCCTTATGTGATGGTTCTGTGTAGCTGCTCCTTACACAAAACCTTCTTTTCTTGGTCAGAGAAGTAGAAGCTAAGCTGTCACTTTTAATTTTTATATCTGTAGTTTCTCATTAAAGACCCAGTCCACATCATTCAAGTCCCCAGGTTTTCAATGGGAGAAGGCCCTCAGCAATTTCAAGAATAGATCTGATATTGCCTACTGTCTCACACAGTTTGGACATATTGTCATTTACCCTCTTGTTCTGGGCTTCAGGAAGGGCTCTGGTAACTCTTAAAATGCCCTCTCCATGTTCTTGTTCTCCGTTCACTCCTATCATGTTCTAAAGTGCTGAAATTTAAAAAAATAAACCTGAAGACATAGCAGATAAAGATGTAGTTTGCCCCTCTCTGAGAAGAATGCCACCCCGTCATCCCCCCATTATTAGAGCAACAAAGCAGGGGCACGAACATGAGGAGTTCAGTTGCTGAAGTTAGGGCCTGAGTATCAAAGCGTATGAGTCCTTACTTTGAAAAGAGTCCAAGTGAATTCAGTGAGAGTAATCATAGGATCAAGTTTTGTGCATTAAATAAGTTGTATAATTAGGTACTTACTGAAAAGTTATTATGGAAATTTATTTATAGAAATAAATGTATAGATGTATCTCTCAATCACGCATTCAGTCTTTAGCTCGTTCCCATGGTTCTCTTAGCACACACACTTTTCTTAGTACACAAAAAGAATTTCATGCTAAATATTTACTTCAAAACAAAGGCATTTCATTAACATTGGTCCTTTCTCCAGATTATAGAAAAGAAATTCAGAAATTAAATGTTACTGATCGATCATATATTGCTTAGGAAGTGTAAGCTGAAAATGACTGTACCACCCAGTGTTTTTTTCAAGTGAACACTAGCACAATGTATTTGAACTGAGAAGCATAATTTGAGTGTCCTTCCTTGGCAGAAAGTCATTCCCTTCTCAACATGCCACCCTGGCAGCCTTTGCAGCGGTGTACATTTCGGTGAGTAACCAACTCTGTTCATTTTCATTTATACAAGACAAAAGTCAGAAAGTCATTTGCTGTATGTTGTAAAGTGGTGCGTGGCCTGGATTTCCTGGATGGATCTAAGTTTTTATCCTCCCAGTTTGAAAGCAAAATAAAACTGCTAACAGCTAAAATAAAACCAGCTCTATTAAGAACACAGAACAGATTCAACTCCTTCACACATCCTTTGTTAAGAAGCAACAAAAAGTGTAATTTTAAAGTATATTTGATGCCTCATATTATTCACGTATAAAAATGAAGTGCTTATCTTCTTACAGGGTGATATTTAACTTACCATTCAAATTAACCTTTACGTGTTCTGCCTTTTCTTTATTGCTGTCTTCACTTGACTCGCTGCTTTTAAACTTGAGGCATTGAGGCACAAACGTTTATGTTACGTAGTTTCATTTGACCTCCATAGAGCTGCAGCATGGACGAATTGGCACAATCTCTCCCAGAGGCCTCCAAGGTGCTACTGCGAAGAGAGTGAATAAAACCCATCAGTAACGAGCAGGGATTTGTAGGACATGCTGCAGCAATCACAGCTGAATTTCCACACCTGACCATTGACATTTCTTCAGTATGGGCTACAATGTTTGTATAAGTGACCACTAACTTGTGTTAAAAAAAGTTGTGTAAAAAAAGTGTTGTAAAAATCAGAGGAAGACAACAACAATACCAACCAGTAAATCAAATTAGACAATGGATTTGTGCATATACTGGGAGTTTGCCAGTGTTTATTCTGCCCAGGGAAAGGCCAAAGTTTGGAATGATAGTGATGAAGCACCTCCACTTAATTTTTGTGACCTCCCTGACATCATGGCCCCCAGTTGAGAAATGGCTCTCTAAAGCATCTGGTGGTAGCTTTTGTTAGAACAGGTTATTGCTTTCATCTGGCATGACATCTGGCTTCTGTATTTCAGAAGTGGTGGCTCTTTAGTCACATTTACAGAACATTTAGGCTCTGACTGTGAACAGTACTTAGGCATAAAATCCTTATCCTAATGGATGTCAATAAGCAACACTGCCTATTTTTTTTAGATATCCATTCCTTGTGATTCCAGATGTTCCTACAGTAAGTGAGCAAATTTTAACAGGGCTGTAAAATAAATTAAACTGATTATTTGAAATATTACTATATAATGGTGATCTGTGTATGAAGGAAACCTTGAATGCGAGAAATTCATATCCTCTTAGGTAAATTTAAGTTTCTTCAACTGCTTCATTTCTTTCTTTTTTTCAAGATGTACTTCAATTCTACATTAACAGACTCCTCAAAGCTTCTGAAACCACTCTTGGTCTTTGCTTTTATCATCTGTGGAATTATATGTGGTCTGACTCGTATCACCCAGTATAAGAATCATCCAGTTGATGTTTACTGTGGCTTTCTCATAGGAGGCGGAATTGCTCTCTATTTGGTAAATACAATATTCATGTAGTTAAGTTTTAGCAAGTAAAGCCAATAAGGCTGTGATAAGAGTACTGGTATTTTTTATGAAAACCTTTCAGCATGGTCACATGCCATAATTAAAAATACAGTCAAAATGTCTTGAAGATGATGGTGGTTAGGGGTAATCACTTTAAAAATAAACAGGAAAAAGCAAATATGTATTTCAATTTAAAGTGCCATAACAGTGCACAAAGTGGTATATAATCATCTGGCATTGTATCCAGAAAAAGCTCTAACATTATACGCTTCATTAAATACTTAAAGATACTCATCTTTTCTACTCCACATTTACAAGCATAACACAAGAAAAATACTGGATTAATTGGTATTCGTTGCCAGCCTTAGTTTATGTTGCCAACACTAGCTTTAAGATCTCAAAAAAATGGTTGAATTAATATGCAGCAACTCAGCTGAGTAAATTGCTGAACCTGCAAGAAATCAAAGGCAATATGTGATTCTTTGGAGCTCTTGGGGAAATTATGCAGAGGAAACAGGATGCCCAAGCCAGGTTATCCCTATGCTTTTCCTCTGTCCTGGGTTCAAACAGACGGAGCCCCTTGGCAGGGTCCTGTAAGGGACTATGCAGGATAGGCCTGTTTGTATCTGTCAGCA